GAGATACTTCATGTGTTTATGTTCTAGCTTTATAACTGTGTGTGAGGGAGTTTCATATTATGCTTAACTATACATCTTTCTGTGCAAAGTTATGGCTGAAGACACATGGTAAATAACCAGGATGCGCCAACTGTTGACTGGTGCCAATTTTCTTATGAAACCAGATCACTCCTACGGCTTGGAGTTTGAGATCTTTAGCGGGAGAAGAAGAGCACTTCTTCAAAGGAGGAATAGTCTCATGAGTACCACTTATTCTTGTTTCCATTTGCAGCCTTGTGCACCATTTCTCACACCATTTTTGAGGGTCCCCAACACATAGCACTGGAGGCTGCAACAAGTTAGTATATTTCATAACTAACACTTAAAGTTTAGGAAGCATTTTTTCTTAATTTGTATTTTCCTTATATGGTTAACACCACTGATTCTCCTTACCTGGCACTCATGACACACCTTAGGCAATATTTTTTGCAATTGCATAAGCCCACACAATTTTTCCAGCTATTATGCAAGCTATTAATTGCTTCACACAGAGAAAAAGGCTAAATGTAAGACTGAAACAACAGATTCTGAAATCCCTTTTTGTTTTAAACAAGCAGCTACTATTTTATATATGGTCCTAATTTGATTTGTACTTCATAAACAGGTATTGGACTCCAAACCTGAGTCTCCCAAAAGAATCAAGCTATAATAATTGTACTTGACTAGAAAATTAGGTGTTAGTTACACTCCTCGTCACAAGGTCTGCCAGAGGCATTTCTTAACTGCCAGTCAGGCCAGGCAACATTCCATGTACTTTATGTAAACAAATGTGTTTGAAAGCTTCAGATTATACCAACATTGGTAACTAGGGTCTGGTAAGCACAATGTGTTTTTTGCCTTTGTGATTGGTCTCAACTATTGTGGGTATGCTGTATACAGACAAGTGCTGTTTATTAATTTGAATACCCTATCCTGTAACTTCAGGGAAGCTTAAAATAATTTAAGACTTCCTTCTCTTGGCTTCTGGCCTCACTCTCTGTGCACCGCGTAGACCAAAAGCAATGGAACAGACATTTATCTCTCTTCCACTCTATCCTGCTCCACTTAAATGAATAAGTGATACGTGAATGAGATGATCTACAAGCCAAGAAGCCTAACATCAACAGCTAGAAACAGTAACTACAGCGCTATCAAATTTAGCATATTGGACAATTGCCAAGAAAGTGCAACATAGTCACATTTTACACCCAAAGAGGATAAAGCTCAAAAAATGAGGCCACAAATAGTCAAGCTGGTCAGACATCTCCAGAAAATTTGGGAATTATTCAAAATCACAAAATAGAAGTTCAGTTAAACTGCAGTCCACAGATCAGGAAAGACACTGCCAAATCCAAAAGGATACCATGCAGTTAATGAGCTGATTCAAATATGCTAATTAGAGGTATACATATGTTCTTCGGAAAAAAATCTTGTACAAAGGACAACACAAAATACAGGTAGCTTCCAAGTAAAGAATGAGGTTTATTCCTGAGAACCTCCCTAAGTCAAATTTGTATGTAAGTCAGATCATATGAGTTTGTCTTAGTATGTGTATATATTTTACCTTTCTATGCATATAAAACACTTAAGAAACATTTCCATATTCACGAGAACATCTTAAATGCAATACAACATTGCAGTAATCATAATAATTCAGTAATAATAAAGCAACTACAAGTACTGAAGGAAGAGAAAGGGTGAGACAATCTATACGTATGTATGGTATGTAGTAATAAAAAAAACCCCAAATAAAAAGAAAAGTTCTTGAATTAACATTAAGCCTAACATTAAACAGGATGATGGAGATGGACCTGTGGCTGGAAGGCCACTGTTTGATCATGCTGCTGGAGGGGGAGGCAGTTACCACTGGACTCTAGGGTCAGGACGCTGAGGAACAAAAAGCCATGAATACTGTATCTTTAGGGAACCACATGGCCACTGAGACACAAGTCACCAACTGTGTCACGTAGTTTCCTAGAGATAGCCCTGACTATCCTTAAGGAACTATGCAGTCACTGATGACATGTCGCCAAACATATTGCATAGTTCCCTAGAGATATTCATGGCTTTTCGCTAGAGATATTTCATACAGGGTTTATGGCAGTCCATGTATCCATAAGTATGGGTTGTTTGTAACCCAGACATTCGTAACCTGGGGACTACCTTTAACAGGAACATGCATGCAAGACAACATAAACTGAGTGCATTGCTTTAAAATATGAGTAAGAATGACATTAATTTAAATACATCAGGATAAGAACATCAAATAAATTAACTTGGACAGTTGGATAACAAGGGAGCTAAAGGGGTGCTAAAGGAGGATGAGGAGGATGTTAAACCATGGTCAGAGGAGACTTCTTGGAGAACAATTCTGTGTCTCCACATGCTTCATTTGGATGTAAGATTACATGTCTATGTGAGTGTGGAGAGCAGATGCTACTGCCAAAGCAACAAATTCACCAGTAGAGGCAAGGTAAGCAGAAGGCACAAAATTAGAGAGGAGGAGCATACATGCAGCCCACAGGCCATAGGCTGCCTGCCTGTGAAGAAGCAGTCTTGCTTAAACAAACAAAAGAGTAACAGAGCATCTTAAAGGTAAGTCCTATCTCAATAACTTTTTAGAGTTTGTTGAGCATATTACTAAGAATGTGGCTAGGAATAAACCAGTAGACACTGCACTGCTGTACTTTCAAAAAGCTTTTGACAAGGCCCCTCACCAAATGCTCTTAAGATAACTTAGCCGCCACGAAGTAACAGGATGGGCCCCCATGGAGTTAGTAGGAAGAAAGGGCAGCACCTCGCATTGCCCACTGCTAGAACAACAAGAAGCCAGTAGTTCCCAAAATAAGCTGAAATAAGTGGAAATTCTTGTTTCCAGCTCCGGGCTGGTACCAAAGTTTCACATACCTGTCCTGTTGAGGAAACAAGTGTTTCTGTTGGTTTCTAGAGTTGCTTTGGGAAGTACTAGCTTTTTGTTGCATTAGCAGTTGGTCCCTCCGGCATAACAGAATTAGCAGAGGTGCAACGGCACTGTTATCTATTGCCCGGCAGGGAGGAATAAATGGAGTTATTGCAGAGGGGGTGTGGCCTCCTGCGTTTTGGCACTGTTCCTTTTAAATTTGTTCAGATCTAGAGTTGAGGTGGCCAGCTTTTTCAGGGTAGAAAAGCCAAAAAAAAATTGAGATACTGAATGAAAAAATAAATGGCGAATGCAGCTCAATGGAGGTCGGAGACACACAGAAGGCTGATCTCCTAACTTCACATATATACCAGTATGGTCTGGCTTGGCAGCAATAGACCCGGGAAGGGAACGTGGGTTATGACTAAATTAAAGGGACCAAAAGGGTAGCAGTGGTGAACAAGGTGAATGTCACGGTAGGGAACATTGGGGAAAGAACTGAAGAGAAAACTACCAAGACTGTAATTTTTTTACAGTGGCATTGCAAATCTACACTGCATTCACACCTGTACAGTGTATAGTCCTGATTGCTGGTTCTGGAAAAGATACAGAATAGTGCAACCCAAATGGTTACGGAATAGAAGAAGTTCCCTATAAGGAAAAGTTAATAGCTGGGCTTTTTATTTTAGAAAGAGGGTGAGGGGTAAGTGATTGTGAGACATTAACTGGACAGGGAGAACCCCATTTTCTTACTTGTTAAAAATCTGGCTGAAGGAATTTTAACTTAAATGTTGGTTTTAAACAAACAGCTAGGTGGTAAGTTCACTAATATGTTAACTGTTTTAAAATGTGTTTATTTCCTTCTGACTTAATTCTGTGGTCACATTCTAATTCTTAGTTTATATTGTTCACTGTTATACAGTTGAGAAAACCCAAGAATTACAGTCAAAATGTTGCATCCTAGTAAAAGACCTAGTGAAAGCCATAGAAACATAGAAACAGAGCGAGTCAGAAGGGCTCTCCCGGGCCAACTAGTCTGACCCCTGGCTCTAACCAGCTCCGCTCACGACATGCCCACCGTGTGGATGTCCAGCCTATCCTTGAACACCCTCACCGATGTGGCCTCAACCACCTCCTGTTCTGACCATTTCTACAAACTTTAAAAAAAAATCTCATAAGTCGGAAACTCATAATTTCTTTCATAAAATTTCCAAACTGATTTGCATTCACATCCAAAGCCAAATGGTATTAGAAACTGGTGTTTTATGTTGCTGTTAACAACTTCACAAGTATGAAAATGGCCAATGATAAACCAGGGCTGCCTTACCAAGTCCTTTCTCACGAGAAAAAATAGCTTCAAAAGCATAACTGCTGTTACATTGAGGAAAACCTGCACCACCGATTATCTTTTAATACTAATATAACAGACTTAAGAATAAAACAATAAATGATTTCTGACTTCTTAATGGGTTATCATTTCCACCTGGGAACACTAAGAAAAGCAGCTCCAAGACTGAAGGAGCTAAGTGAACAGGGAGTCGTGCAGCTAACTGCAGGAGGGAGAGAAAGCAGGTAGTTAACTGTCTGAACAAAATTCTTGTGAGGGCAAATTAACAGTTGCCATGCGAAATGTCCATGCTGTCATTAAACAGAATGTTCCAAATTCAGCATAGGTGCCAAAGGAAATCTCTAACCTTTGCCAATGCATTCAATACAGACAGTCACTGTATTATACTTTGGGCAAAGTTCTACATTTGTTAGGAAGTTTAGGATTTTTCTGCTATGTTTTTGAACACTTTATTAGAAACTTGGCATTTCTTCTGTGTTCTAGGTGCAATTTCTGCTCATTTTCTCAGTCAATCAAAAAGCAATGAAAACTTTCACATGGGAAAAAAATACTTTGAAATTATAAAGCAGAGTAGCTGTTCTGAGCAAGTCGTTCCAGAGCTTAATAGATTTTAAAAAACAAACAAACAAACAAACACAGACAGAAAGCCCAAATCTTAGCTGTATTTATCCAAATGTTTACAATTTTTCTCTTTTTAAATATATGCAAAGAAGGAAGAAAGTTGAAAGTGCTTACTGTTCTAAGAGCTGCTCATATTTTCCACAGGCATCTTTTTCGGCTGCAACAGCCCTCTCTTTTTCAGTCACAGCATTATCTCGAGCTTCTCTTAGATTTCTGAAAGGTAACATTTTAAAGTTCTTTTTATTCTCAAGTGCGTATTCACCAGCATGTTATGGTCTGGTATGTTGGAACTGATCTCCAACATAGCATAAATTGATCATCAGAATAGACTGATTTTCATGTTTCATCCACTTCTCCCGTTCAACGTTTCATTTAAGCTTTCAGTCCACAATCACAGATTTTCTCAAAAAAGACTTGCAATACTCTTTTTCAATACTCAAAGGTGGGAGATACTTGAACTAGGGACTCAAAGATCAAGAGACGGGGAATGTGTCATGGAGAGTCACTGCTACTGGAGGACAACTCATTTCCACCTGTCTTACCCCCACCTGGCAAAGGATGCCTGCTGCTTGTGGTCCTTTGAAAGAGACTAACCTGGGAGTGCTAGGCATTTCTACCTGTCTCACTCGCACTCATGCGCACACCCCTTGAAGCCTGACAGAGCTTGCTGCTGGAGGATGGGTGCTGGAAGGGGGGCATGGTGGAGAGCCTTCTTCACACCCCACCACCGTGGAGCCTGCTGCCCGGGGATGGGCTTTTGGAGGGGTGAACTGAGTAACGTCAGGGCTATTGCGTTCGTATGGCGATTGGTGGTGGGTGATGGGTTTTGCCTCCCCAGGTGGTGGACAGGTCGTGGGAACCAGTCAACCACAGTCTGTAGGCCACTTGGGGAGAAACTGCAGTTGCCTTGGAACAAAGATCTATATATTCTTACAGGGAGTGCTCTCTTAGGGGCTACACTTCACGAAAATGAGTAGGCATACAGCTCGGGCAGAAGCCTGGTTGGGTATGTAGGTGGTAGCAGTGAAAAGGGACCATCTTTTTTCAGCTTGCTGATGCGCCCTTACCTGATGAAAAAGGATTTCAGCACAGTCATTCATGCCCAATTGCCTCTGGGTTAGATTACAGTAACATGCACTACGTGGGGCTGCACTTGAGAAATGTCTCAGAATTGCTGCCAGGAAACTGACAGCAATGAGGCAGAACACATTTTGCCTGCATCGCTTGATCTCGGCTGGCTATCGGCTTGTTTCGAGGCTCAGTTCAAGGTTCTGTTTTTAACCGTAAAGCCCTAAATAGCTTCCGTATAGGCCGATGTGCCTGAACCTGCCTAATCTTGGCAGCCAAGGAGGGTCAGGCCTGGTTGAAATCTGGACAGGACACTTTAAAATGTTGCGAATGGCCCAAAGAGATTGGCTATTGGTGGTATAGAAGTATAACGTAATAATAATAAATGGTTTGGGCCTCGTAAGAATTCCATACGTCTTCCATATGCATTTTCCTGCATGCTGTGCTCAGCATCTATGGTACAGATGATACAGATTCTCCAGGTATCTGAGGCACGGTGGCCAGCAAAAAAGCAGCAGGGCCTTTTCAGTGGTGGTGCCCACTCTATAGAATACCCTCCTAGCTGAGATTTTATGGTTTCATGGGGTTTAGGTATATGGCTAAAACCAAGCATTTAAGGAAGACCATTAGCTGAAAAGGTTTGCTCTCCATGCTTAGTATGTGTTGAGAATCTTTCTCTTTCTTCTTCTGGTCTATGATACAATCACCAAAGGCAAACCAATATAATTCAAAATAAGAGTAATGTACTGAAGGAAGAATTGTTCTTATTCTATTTTAGTGCTACTTGCTCTCAGTTATACTGTCATTTGGCCAAAACTGATCTGAGTTCTTCAAGAAGCAATGAAGAATGTTGTGGGCAGAGGGGATGCTGCCAGAAGTCATCAGGTCTGTTGAAATGTGGCGTTCACAGAGTATTTCACTTGGATTCAAAGTCACTTTCATGTAAAAAACGCATTTATAGTCAAATTAATTTCATTTATTCCTCATATTGTTTAATCTGAGATCTAATCTATGTTGAACAGGGTTGCATCTTGCGGCACTTATATGTACTGCATTAAATTTGTGTTTATGATGTACATTTATATAATGAAGAAGTACAGCATGGAAGCCATATACAGATTTTACTTTGCTATTTCTTTGTTTTTGTTCTGTATGGCATCTGCTGCATTAAGGAGTGCTATTTTTAGATTAAAAGCATTTCAGGCTTTTAGCTTGAAAACATTAGGCTCAATTCTCATATTACTTTTCGATGTGGATGCTTCTTCACAAGGTGACTTTCTCCATATCAACATCATACAGTAAATATTTCATGTGAATGTTGTTTGCACTGATGGGGCATGCTAGACATCACCATGAAGAACAATAATGAAATGAAATAGATTCCAAGACAGACAGATACATTTTTAGATAGCCCAAAAGAAAAATAAGCCACATAAATGGTAGCCAAATTAATTGGAAACCAGTTTATATTCTCCCCAATTCAAATTCTTAACTTGCCTAAATTCCTACAGTAGCCTGTTACAAAATTATCTGAACAAATCATAAGACTGAGTTGCTGAGACAGAATTTATATGCTGTTACGCTGATTCACTTATGTGCTGAGGACTGGCCAATGTCACTGTATTATCTGAAGGAATTATAAAATGAGAAACAATCTGGAACTAGGCATGATATATCAAGTAAACTGAGGACAAGAAGTACATATAGCCTTGATACAGTCTGATTTTGTTATGTACCTGAGACTTCAAAACTAGATATGTATCAGTTCACAGTAAACCACTAGTGGCCCGCCCACAGCTTCATGGAGTTCCCTTTGTAAATTAGCATAGGAATAAAGCCCAAGCATAATTTAATGATGCAGTATAAAATAACTACGAAAATCTAAGTGTGCTGATCTGGTAATGGTTTCATGTTGAGTAGGAAAAAGGTTCCCAGGTCACTCATATATTCTCCGTATCCAACTTTTGAGAGCTCGAGAACAATTGTACCCATATTCATGCCAGGGGACATTTCTGCTGCCAGTATCTCGATTTTTCTTTCTGCTCTTGGTGTAAATTCAGCTGTTGAGAAGGAGTAATACCAAGAACAGCAATGTCACTTGGTATGAATACTGGTCTTTCCTTTCCGGCAACAACATTGGTAAACATAGACTTTAAAGTGAACTGTGATGAATTGCTCTGGTTGTGTGCCTGCTATAAACATACACCCTAATTAATCTTAAAAGGAAGTCTGTATGAATTTGAAGGATTCCAAAACTGAAATACCCACAGATGGCCCTTAATGCTGACTCACCGTTTAGCTTGCTCCCAATTCTGCCTCTACCTTTATCACCTCAATCCTTCTCCAGGATTCCATTAGACAAGTCTACAATTTATCATGCACACTCGTACCTCCTTTTCAGAAAGGAAGATGGGAGATGGTTCCCACAGTTATGCCAGGCCCTGGAGACACTAAGAGCATCTCTGAAATACAGCATCACATCACAGGCAAAATCTTGATACAGCATCATGTCACGTTCAAGATCTTACACCTCCGCTTCAGGGAGGGGCAAAACTAGATGACAAGCACATGTTTTGGCTGGCTATCAAGGAAACCAAGCCAAGAACTGCACCTTGCCTAAAAAGAAAATATTTAAAGCTGGGAGGGAATTGAAAAAATTCAACTACCTCTTTCAAAGGAGCAAGAGCAACCATCTACTTCAAGTGGGTATTTCTGCCTTCCTGTAGGCAGAAAATCTAAAAGCAAGAGAGGTTAAATGTTTGTCAACTACTACAGCAGGAATGTAGCACCTCAGGTCCCAACCCTGGCCTTCCTGGAAGGCCAATTTGGGACTCTGGGATCCCCCAGATTATAATACCTCCCTTCCTTAAACCTGAACCTTATTTCCCCAACCATTAAAAAAGGTAGTAGTTTCCCAGCTTTTGTGCAGCTTTCCCTCCTTCTAAGAGGTTTAAATGTCCCTTTAAAGGCTTAAATACTTGGAATAAGAGCATTAACCTAAATATGCCAATATTTTGGCTCTGAACACAACTGGAAGTGGCCCTTGAAAGCTTCTCTGAAATGTAATTCAGCCCTTGGTCTGAAAGATGTTCTGTAGCACTGTTCTAGAAGATGGCAGTCAGATCCTACCCCATTTTCCATCAATATACAAACACTGTACAGGACTTCAAATACTGTTCCAAGAGCAGAAATTTCCGAACAATTCACGGTTTAAAAATTGACTATAATTCTAAAAAATAATACCCCTCTCAGTGAAAAACATTTTATGGATAATCTGAAAAGTTATACATGGTTAGGTCTGTTTTCACTTTCTCTGAATGAAGAAATGATGTATGTTCACCTAACAAATAATAATGGGAAAACCACAGCCAAAAGCAAAGCCAGTGAGCAGCTGCAAGCAGAAATGGGGCACAAACAATAGCTTGAAAAATAAGGATGTGAAAAACAGTGAGTGGGATAAAGCTAGGGTCACTTTACATGGTTGTGCAGTGTCTGATTCTGATTTACACATTTAAAAAAAGTAAACCTAAGATGTTTGAAATGTTCACCTAAAACTGTGCATGAACACAACAAAGGAGTATTTGGAAACAATGCCACAGGGAGCTGAGAATGATAATTGTTCTACTAAGGGTGCATTCAGTGGCAAACCCAGATCTGTTGTTGTGTGTGAAACAGCTCCTGGAGAACAGCTCAGGTGCAACACACAAGCCCAAAGACATCACGGGGATGCTGAAAGGAACACTGTAATTATATTATTATAATTCTAACAGAAGAATGATCTTTAAGAGAAAGGAATTCACCCTGTCTCATATTAGAAAAAAGGGTCTCTTAGAGCATCTCTAGGGGAATTAGTCATAGCTGCTTGTATAGTTACAGATAAACTTTAGAATTCTTACTGCTTGAAGTAAGAAGGGGGCGGCAGAGGTTGAGGTGGCCGGATGGAGTCACTGGGGCAGAGGGTGTGGGCTTGAGTGGACTCTGAGAGATGGTGGAGGACAGGAGAGCCTGGAGGAATGTTGCCCATGGGGCCGTGATGGGTCAAGCATGACTTTGCAACTAAACAACTGCCTGAAGTTGGCAAAACATTCCCTGTTTTCAATAACTACAAGTCCTACTCAAATGCTGAAGAAAGGAAATTTACTAAT